CTCCATCCCCGCTGCAGCATCCACCGCAGGCTGCTCCGGCCGTGCTGCTCCGGTGTCCGGTGTCAGCCCTGCAGACGCGCCGGGGGGGCCKCAGCAAACCCCTCTCGTGTAACCCTGAGTTCGGCGGCGCCGCAGAGCCGGATCCCAGAAGGAATGTGCTGCTTCCAAGCCGGCTCCCACCCCAGCAGGAGGAACACGAGGCACTGGAGGAAAACCTTCCCAGCCCAGGCTGGCGCTGCCTGGCACGGCGCTGGAGACGGAACCGCTGCTCCCGCCGCGCCGCTCCCCGGTGGAAGAAGAGCCGGGGGCCCCCCTGTGCCGGCCCCTGCCGTTCCCGGCTCCGTTATCTGCTGCGGTGGGCGGGAGAGCCGCCGTAGAGCCGGGCAGCTTTGCGGCAGATGAGCCTGAACCAGTAGAGCTGGGGGGCGATGAGGGACGCGTTGGCGATGTTGCAGTGCAGGGGGATGCGGAACGGCACCAGGTACGCGGGGATCCCAACCTGGCGCCCGTAGGCCGCRTACATGAAGGGGAAGAGGAGGATGCGGCACAGGAAGAAGGTCACCAGGATGAGGATCCCGTTCACCTTGTGCAGGAGAGTGTCCTGCATTTTGAGCTGGGGGAGGAAGGAGGTGAAGGTGGYGTGAGCAGCACCCGGCTGGGGTGGAGGGCAGGGGAAGGGAGGTGGGGCAGAGGATTGGGGTGGGAATCAGGGTGGTGCAGGGGAGGGACAGGCAGGAGRGGGCAGCACCAGCCCATGACACAGCCCCCCAGTTCCGGGATGCCACTGGGGGAAAGGGATGGGGCACTGGGAGGAGGAGGGCAGCACTGCAGGGGAGGTTGGGGCTGCCCCTCTCCCAGACCCCCAGCTCAGGCACTGCATGAACAGGGACAGGGGATGAAGTGCTGTGGGGCTCCCAGCCCTGAGCTCCATCCCTCCTCACCTACCTGCATGAGGATTTTGCCCAGTGACACAAAAGGCGTGCTCAGCTCTGCTGTGAAGATGCAGCCCACAAAGAAGTCGCCCAGCTCTCCCCTGAAGTGCTGTAAAAAAAGCCAGCAGTGAGCACGGGGCCCTCTGGAGGGGTGGCCAGCATGTCCAGGAGATCCTGGGCTCCTGCAGCAGCCCTTACCTGAGTGATGGGGGTGAGCACGATGAGGATGAAGAGGTGGTGGGTGACCATCAGCCTCTCCTGCAGGAGGAAGCTCCACACGCTGGCCAGCGAGTGCTTCTTCTCCACGATGCCCTTCTCCAGGCTCTTGTGCCAGTGGCACAGGTACATGACGTAGATGTCATAGGTCATGTAGGGGACCAGCACCCAGATGTACTCCACAGCCAGCCAGTGCCTGGGGAGGAGCAGCACACACAGGGGCATCACAACCCCTCCGAGCACCTTGTGATGCTCTGGGAGATGGGAGAGAGCCTTTAGGACTGAAATGGCACCGTTTCAATGGGTTTTGAAGCTGAAAGGGGAAGAATTTTCAGTCTGTCTGGCTCAGCAGGTACAGAGTGACCCAGAGGAAAGGTACCTGGTACGTGTGGAGGGCGGCTCTCGGCGCTGGCCTCGCTCCTGCTGGGCTGTGCCAGGCACTGAGCTCGGCCTTGCTGAGCACAAACACAGCGCTAATGAAGGATCCTGATTAGCCCCACAGCCGGGTATGTGCTGCACGAGCCCAGGGCACAGCGTTTTTGGGSATCCAGCACCACACTGACACCTCTGCAGCAGGTGATCTCCCCTAAGCCCTGGCACCCCCAGATCTGGTGCTCAGTGGTGCAAAACCCCCAATCCTGGGTCCCTCCTGCCTGTCACGCTGTACCAGCTGTCTGCCTGACCCAGAGGATGTTTGGGAAGCACGTGGAGAACTCAGAGTTAACCAGGGATGGAGTTTGGAGAGGSAAGCACAAAATATCCAATATAGGCAATAAACCCCCATGAGGCGTTTGTCAGTTGGGAAATAATTGCAGGCAGCTGCCTGTTCCCAAAGCATGTTGGAATCCTGGTTGCACAATCTGGGCCAGCAGCAAGCCCTGCTCTACAGGGACACCAACCTCCTTAAAAAGTCCTGAGCAAAATCACACTGATTAAAAAAAAAAGAAAAAAAGAAAAAGAAAAAAAAAAAAACCAAAATCACTCTACTGCTTAAAGAAAACCTAACTTGGGGCTCAAATTTCTTTTTGCTCTCCTGCCATCCCAGGAAAAATTCTGTTGCAGGAGTTCCCGTTCCAGATGGAAAGATGTAAGCGGTGTGAAGCAGGGGTGGCGAGTGATTGTGTTTGCAAAACTTGCCCAGGGCTTTGGAGGGCAATTACAGCGCCGGCAATGTAACGATTGTCTGCCTCTGTAAATAAATTGGCAAATTTTACTGCARTCTTTGTGATGTTTCCTGGCTCGCTGTCTTGCTGTCATTCTCCGAGGCCTTCCCTGCTGAGTGCTGGGCTCTATTTCCTCCAGATTCAAAGAAAATCTAGGTCTCTGCCCACAAAGTGTTTGCACAGAGCCCTTGGCCTTGAGTACACCCGGGCAAGCAGACAGCTCCGGGGGAAGGAGGGCTGCTGGCAGCACCTCCCGTCTGTGTGGCTCTGGGATTCATCATCTGCCTTATCTATACGGCAGAAATTTTATTTTACAGCAAAAAGGTAACTGACACATTGCCTGGGTGAAGCAGGACTGAGCAATCTGGATGGGTATCGCTATCTAGAGCAAGGCAGGACAATTCATATCTGTGTTTTAAAATCAAATCTGCCATGACCAAAGTGGCAGCCCTTCYTAAAAATCACCCTAAAATCGGTGTGTGACAGTTGAATTGCAGCTCGGCATAATTATATTCTTCCCTCCTGCAATCTTCCCTCTGCTAGTCTGGATAATAGCTCTGTTTTTAAGTCTTCTGACCCAGATTACGCTATCACTCCTCCTGAGAGCCACTTCTGGGCAGTTTATCTCAGAGCACTGAGGACAAGGCAGCAGGATTTCCCTTCAGAGCAAACTCCATTCTGACTTTACCATTTCTGGGCTCTTTCAGAATCCCTTTGGTGGAGAGAAGGCGATGCACCTCTAAAATCAGTTCTCACCAGGTCTGCTTGACTCTGTAGCAATTTCAGCTTCCAACAAGGAGACTCCCTACCCCATGATGATGTTTTTATTTTTAGCTCATGTTCAKCCCATTTCACAGCCCATCCTCTGGAGGGGACTGTGCTGGCAGAGCAACCCCAGGCCTGAGCAAGCCAGTGCTGTTCAGGGGGTGTACAGACAGCACATTGCCCAACCCTTTCAGCCCAAGTGGAGGAAAGAGGAACATGAAACTGTTTTTCCTCTCCCCTTTGTGCATGCAAGTCTTTGGCAGAAAACGTTCCGGCCCCATGGGGCAGCAGGACCAGGGGGGCTCTGGGTTACCTGTCAGACACCACATTCTTGCAGCTGAGGACAATTGTGATCCCYGACACCGTTGCCATCGTGGCTTGGACCGTTGACACCAGCCTGAAAGTGAGAGAGAGAGGAAACGAGTCACCCCAAATGTGACCCCAGARGGGCCGAGGCACAGGGCTGGCGCTGGCAGAGCTGGTGGCACTCAGACACCGCTCCGTGCGGCGAGGACGTGTCGGGGTGGCTGTGCCAGGCGCTGCCTCCCGGGSGATTCTTGCCAGGTCTCGTCCCTTCCACCCCCGTGGGTCGGAGGTAGCGCTGCCGGTTCCCCGTGGGCAGAGGGAGAGCTGCGCCGRAGCATCCCCGCTCCGACATCGGTACCGCGGGGCGGGGTCCGGCCGGGCGGGGCTGGGGGGTGATGCCCACCCTCGGAAGGTGATGCCCACCCTCGGGAAGTGATGCCCACGCTCGGAAGGTGATGCCTACCCTCGGGGGAGGGGATGCCCGCGCTCGGGGGGTCGGGGGGTGATGCCCACGCTCGGGGGGGATGCCCGCACTCAGGAAATGATGCCCGCCCTCGGTAGGATGCTCCTGCCGCCGGTCCCTGCTCCCCTCGCGGGATCTGGGCTCAGGACAGCCAAGAGCTGTCTTCCGGAGCGTCATAAGCCGGGACACCCCCGGGTCCAGGCTCACGGCCAGAGGGTCTCGSTGCTGTTGGCCCGYTCGGATCTYTCTGCTCCCGGTCCCYATCCCGGTCCCCATCCCGGTCCCGGTGGGTCCCGCCGCGGTGCGCGTCACCTTCCGCCGCTCCCGCCCGTACCTGCCGCTGAGGAGGATGCGGTCCTTGAGGCTCCATCCCGGGGCGGCCCAGCGCAGCAACCGGATGCAGAGAATGAAGAGCCCCGGGAAGAAGGCGGAGGCGAGGGCCAGCGTCCGCCACATGGGGACGACCGCGTTGTCTCCCGCCGCCGCTTGTCAACAGCCGGCCGGGCGGCGGGAGAGCCCGGCTCGGCTCAGCTCAGCTCGGCCCGGCTCAGTTTGGCTGTGCTCGGCTCCGCTCGGTTCGATCCGGAGCAGCCCCGCCGCTCCCGCCCCCGCCGCCGCCGGGACGCGCCCCGCTCCGCCGGGCGGGAGACCACGCCCCCGTCCGCGCAAACCCCGCCCACTCATCGAGACCACGCCCTCACAAACCCCGCCCCTGATTATTCAAACCCCGCCCCATCACGGGACCACGCCCCTCACGCCGGCCCCGCCCCGCCCCGCGCGCTGCCGGCGGAAGCAGCGCCGCCATGGAGGAGGACGAGCCGGAGCTGGAGGCCGGGCTGGAGGCGGCGCTGGAGCTGGCGCCCGCCGTGCAGGCCGCCATCGAGCAGGTGCGCCGGGCGGGTCCCCCCGCTCAGGGGACAGGTGCGGGCGCGGCCCGGGGCCGCTCGGTGAGGCCCCGCGGCCGGTTCCGAGCCCCACCCCGCCGGCTCCGGGCCTTCCGCTGCTGGGCCCGGGGAGCCCCGSGGTGSCCGTGCCCGGTGTGGAGCCGAGCCCCGTCAGCCCCGGGTGCGCCCGCACCTTCTGATCCCGGGCCCGTGTTGGGGGCTGAGCGCGGCTCGTCGTGTCGCCGTCGCTGTCAGCCGTGCGGTGCTGGTGGTGCTGTGGCGGCTCCGTCGCTAATTGCAGACATGTTACGTGGTGTGGAAAGCATCCCAGTGAAGTCCAGTGCCTGTGGCTCGGTTGAAATGAGGATAATCGAAATATCTTGGTTTGACTTGTGGTGAATACACATGGGGTTTTTTTTCACGCTGAGGGTGCTGGGCACTGCCAGCCTTTGGACAACGCTCTCAGGCACRGGGTGAGCTTGTTGGGATGTCCTGGGCAGGGCTTGGAGTTGAACTTGATTCTTGTGGGTCCCCCACAACGGCGGGTATTCTATGATTCAGTGTTCCCTGAAACCTTTCGTGGCACTTGGAGTCCATCAAAATCCCACGAGAACCCAGGGTAAAACAAGGTCTCTTGTCCTCTGTGACTGAGCCTGTGCTGCCTGCAGCCAACCCTTCCATCTTGAGGGCTTTTTCCTGTAGCAGAACTCTGGGCAGCAGCAGTATCTGTCTCACAAAGTGTCATTTWAATAAGTTTTTGCACTTTCTTGGGAGTTGAGGCTTGTGGGTCTTCTCGAAGAGCAAAGGGAGACTTTGGGAACTGCTACATTAAATGGCAGCTTCTAAAGGGGTCCTAGAGCCTGTCCAGAGGAAAAATCCTCTGCACTTAGGAATTTTGAGCAGTGGAKAATCCACTACATGCCTGGCTGAATTATTTTAACAGACAGTAAAGCTGTGGGTAAATATTCACATCCTGAGCCCTGGGACTTATTGAGGATGACACTGCCTGCTGCCTTCCAACACTTCCTCACTGGCACTTTTCAACCCAATAATAAAGTTGTTCAATGTTCCTGAACCAGTTTGGGGTAAAACCTGCCCATTTCTGGTTAAATGAGCAGAGCTGGCTCAGCTGCCCTGCCTGAAGCAGGGTGGGGAGCACAGGCAGAACTGGTGCTCCACCAAACCTGGAGTAGCATTTCTGATTAATAGGTTGTGACAAACTCCTGGGAGTGACAGCTCCTGTAGCTGCTCCAGCTGCCTGCAGCACTGATCTCTATCTGCAGTTTGAGTGCAGTTCCTGACCGGCCTTTATCTTCCATCTCACCTCKTGTTTCATCTGCTCCTCATACTTGTGGAGATTTGGAATTTGTGGAGATTGATTGAGTGTGAGTTGTGAGCAGGGCGGGCTGGGTGCTGTGGCCTTACAGTGGGGTGATGTCAGAGCATTTTCCTCACTCACCACGAYCTCATGCATGTTTAAGTGCTGCCTGCTGCTCCTTGGCCACGRGAGTGACTGGGAAAGCTGCCCAAGAGGGCTGGTTCAGGCAGAATTTGCTTTTATCTCACAGAATCACTGATTTTACAGTGCARAATGTGTCAATCAGCATAAATGCTTCATGTGCCCAGGTGTGAAGGCTTTCAAGGGGCAGGGGGATGCTGTAGGGTCAGCTCTGCTTTTGCCAGGCTGGCCATGGAGCATTGTAAATATGATGATGGCTCTGTGAATATGAAATAAATATCATTTTGGATTGGAAGGGACCTTAAAGATCATGTCTTAAAGATCATCTCCTCCCATGCCTTCCACTATCCCAGGCTGCTTGCTCCAAAYCTCATCCAGCCTGGCCTTGAACCCTTCCAGGGATGGGACATCCACAGCTTCAGTGTGACAGCAGAGAAGGGACAGCACCACGCTTTAGTCTGTGGGGATGAAAAGCAAAGCTTGGCAGTCGTGTTTGTGTTGTTTGAACTCCTGAGGAGAGATGAGATCTGTTTGCACCACAGCTGCTTTCCCCCTTCCCAAATCATTCAGCAGATCGTGTTTCTCTCCCTCTTCTGTGAAAAGTGGCAAACCCAAGTCTCAGGAGAGCTTGTACAACCACTCCTTAATTCATCACGTTTCCTATTACATTGGCTTTTGTGAGAAACAAACCCTCTCTCTGTCTGTCACCACAGGGCTTGGCAAAGCTCTTGCCAAGAGCAGGGCAGAGCCTGAGCACTGGGGTTTGTTCCCAGACAAAAGCATCAGGATGGTTCAGGATGTGTGATTATTGACTCGTGTGTCTTGGGAATTCCTGGATGGRTTGTGCCAGGGCTGTGTGTAGAATCGTCTGTGTGAGTTATCTGTGTTTATCCAGGCTGATAAAGTCCACAGTAATTTTTCAGAGGTCAGAGCCCTGCAGAGCTGGGCCACTTGTTAGAGAAATGCTGTGAAACGCAATGGGAAGTGGGTGCTGGAGGAAGGAAAAGTGGTAGGAACTTTGTAAAGTTACAGAAATTATCAGTGATGGTTGACTGTGTTTGTTTTCCTCCCTCTCTCCAGGTATTTCCCAGCCAAGATCCCCTGGACAGAGCAGATTTCAATGCTGTGGAGTATATAAATGCTCTCTTTCCCACTGAGCAAGTAAGTGATGCCCCAAATACTCTCAGACTTTATTTTCACACTTTTTATTATCAGATTTTGCTTCCAGCCTYTACTGTCATGGTAACCTGATGGCAAATGACCAAAGTAGTGTTTAAACCTATACCAAACCTTTTCATTTAAACCAAAACACAGGAARTGAGACTATTAACAATTATCACTTCTTAAATTTGCATCTCACAAGGTTTGCTGTCGTTCTGTGGTCTCTTCCACCCAGAGTGCTTGCTGCAGTGAAAGTCCTGCTTTGATCTGTAGAAATAAATTAGTTTTCTGTATAGATGGAGTAAATGTCTTAACTTGCCATACATCAATCATTGGTGAGTTCCTGGCGTTTCCAGCCAAATCAGGCAGGTGTTACAATGTCAGAGCAGAGTTTGAACCCCATTGTTTCTTTTGAGATTTAAAGAATGAGGTTGCTGTGGGCTCACATCCGTGCTTTGTGTTCCMAACTTCATCCCCAGGGGGAGTTTTGGATTAACTTCTTGCAAAACAGAGATGTTTCTACAGCTGAARTTTGTGTTTTGAGGCTGCTCCAGCACTGCCATGTCTGAAATCCTCTGCAGCACTGGTGGTTTTGGCTTGCAGCTTTTACTAGCGGTGTAGCTTGGCTCTTCTCCCTTTGCCAGCAGCGAGGAGCTCTCTCCCCAGCAGTGCCTTCACTGCATCTCCTTCCAGCCCATTTTCTGYTTGTCTGGGCTCTGCAGGGGGGTCTCAGCCCAGAGGCAAAGGCTCTGTCCCCATCCCCGCTGCCCACTGGAGGTCACTGTCACACAGTTTTGCTGACAGAGGACAAGGCAGAGCTCAGGGATGGGGGATGCCCTGAGCTGTCTTTTTCTGCTCTTCCTGATGTGACAGAGAAGCAGCTGAGTTGTTTTGTCTCAGTTTTCCACCTGTAGAGTGAAGCCATTGCTCTCCTCTTCCTCAAGTGCCCTGTGTGATAAAGTGTTCASAGCTGACATATTTCTCTGTAAAACATTCACCATTTCACTTCTCTCTGAATTTTTTTTTTTATGTTCCAGTCTTTGGCAAACATCGATGAAGTTGTGAACAAAATCAGATTGAAAATAAGGTAAATATTTCTTCATTTCATTGCATCTCAGATGGCCTGGTCTGATTGTCACCAAGGCTTCATAAAYGCAGCTTTTGCACTACAGCTTATAAGATTTAGTGTGTTTAAAAGRCATGGATAGGATCAGCCTGGAGTCTAATAATGGCACAGAGACAATTATTGTATTTTTTTATGTTTCACCGCTGTTACATGCCTTTCATGTTGTTTAGGCTGATGGGTTGCAAAGTGCAGCTTTGAAAAACAACTAAGAATCAAAAAGTATCAAATTTTAGTACAATTTGAAGGTTGAGAGAGCAAACTGCCAAAAGACTCAGCTGCCAATAATTTMTTGTTCGTGGGTTAAGAATATAAATTGTAAAATTCCTCACAGTGTACTTTTTAATTATTTGCCCTAAAAGTACAAAATAAACACAGTTGTGCATGAAATACTTAAATTTTMTATGCTGGCCATATGATGGAGAGAGCACTTCAACATGTGGAAAGTTGAAATGCAAACAGACAAGGGAGAGCTGACAGTATTGCTTAAGGGAACAGGAATGCAAGRAACCCTGGGTTAAATTAGGAAATGGATTTTTATTTTTGCAAYAGGAGTTTTAAATTATGCAAGATAGTGATATTGAAAGGGGAGAGGGGGGAATAGTGAGTTTAACACTGGTAACATCAGGTTTTTTAATTGTAAATCCATTCTGTAGCTCTCAGGATCCCCCTGGTTGTTTGGGTCAGGCTCACAGAGATTGAGTTTGACACTGAGGGTTTTTTTCTGCAGGAGGCTGGATGACAACATTCGAACTGTGGTGAGGGGCCAGACCAACGTGGGACAGGATGGCAGGCAGGTACGTGCAGCCAGCAATGCCAGGGGTTCTCCTCTTGGGATGCCACTCTCAGGAATGACTCTGGCAGGCAAAGCCCCACTGCTGTTGTCACCGAGCTGTTTCTGTGCCCCTTACACTGGTGACATTGTGAGCTGCTCACTCAGCAGCTGCTCTGACTGCCTTCCTGTCACCCTCTGGAGGGAAGTGAATGAGGAATTGATTTAAAGATCACAAGCAGAAGCAGGAGGCCTGTGTGCTGCTCTGAAGCTGATGATAAAACGAGYACTGAATAGGTACATTTAGTGCTGGAGGGGATCAATACAAGGCTGTTTGTCCTTTTCACTGAGTTGTTTGCTGGGGTGTTCTGAGTTGTTGGTCACTGTGCTGATCACTGGCTGCCRCTTCCTCTCGCAGCTCCTGTCCAGCTCTCAGGTTTTCATTTGTCTTTCACCTGACAGATGAGTTTGCTGGGAGTGCAATATCGGTGAGCACAGGGGTTGTGAGTGCTCAGCTGATTTTGAGGTGTCACCTGGCATGGCTCTRTTTYCTGTCCTGTTTCAGAGCAGGARCATTGACCCTTGAACCATCAGTCAGGGTTCCTCAGTGAYTTCTTAATACCAGACTGAAGGCTGGCATGGGGTAGTGACTCTCTATTTCCCACTCCTTTGATATCTATTCCTAATCCTATCTCTGCCACAGWGCCCCTGACCTCGAGGGAATTATTTAACCTGTCCCTGCTTTTGTATTSCTTTAGAAAAACAGGAGAGACACTCATCTGTCCTAGCAGAAGTTTAATCATGGTTGTCTGAGTACTGCTATTAAATTGGGGATGTGCTTGGGATGTGGTTTACCTGGGAGTGGTGCTGCCTGTAATTGCTGTGCAGGAATGAGACAAGAACTCAAGTGGGGAGGCAATTACAGAAATTGAGGAGGGAGTGGAAACTGGTGCAGTACTTGGGGAGTTTGATTGRAAAGCTGGTGCTGTTGTAACCTTTTGGGCCCATTTGAGGTGTTAAATTCAGAAAAGACCACAAAAGAGTGAGATTGAGAAGAGCTGTGGGTGAGAATTGTCCGGAGTCCTCAGGACTTGGGGAAAAGGATGAAAACAAGCATTGCCAGGGCAAGCTGTGCCTGTGGGATAACAGGAGCATTTCTGTGCTGTGGGGATGGCTGAGCTTTGTTTAGAGCTCTGTCCTGTGTCTGTGCTTTGTCACTCTTCCGTCCCTTTGAAGTTCTCCAAGGTGTGTAGGGATGGACCTGGACACTGCCCTGCTCTGCAGCACCAGCAAGGCAGAGCTCTCTGTGCTGCCCTTCCTTTGTTTGGTTGTTAAACTCCTGACTGAGTAAARCCCTTCAAGTGTGCACATCTGTGTCTGTGCAGGACATTTCAGGTGGCTTGGAGATGCAGTTCATTACAAATATTCCTTTATTTAGCTGTGAATTTTCCTATTTTCCCTCACTTTGCTGTTTTTTGCAAGATAGAAGCAAACTTTATGCCAGAGCTTGCAGTTGCATGAGCTGAGGCCAGACAATCTCCCAGGAGCACAACTGTAGTTTCTTACTTGAAGATCCTAACAAATACTGAAACCATTCAATTATTTAAAGTGTTATTTCTCTGGGAAGAAAAGCACTTTGATTCTGAAATGCTGCGAGCTTTTTCTTTCCCTGTTTCTAATCCAAGCCCATAATTTTCACACCTGGATGTGCATTTTTTCTGTGCAATTTTTCATTTTTTCAGACCATTGGAATGGCAAGACTTGGCTGGGTCTTGGAAGTGAAGGAGCATCAGCAAGTCAGGCCTTGGAGGTCACAGGGCCCTGCAGTGGTGGGGAACTCTTGAATTGCATTTTGTGGATGGATATTTCMTATTTGTCACCCCAAAATCAGAGTAAACCTAGAAGAAACACTTGCTGTCGCTGTCACCCCTGCTCTGTGTCCCCTGAGTAWCCTGGGTGCTGTGTGGGGGAGTGAGCAGCCCTTTTCACATGACTGTTGTTTTCACCCTGCTGATAGCAGATTGTGGGGGTGAAAACCTTGTTTTCCAGCTTCAGCTGCCTGTTCTTGTGCTGAAAAGTGCCTTTGTTTCACCAGCATATTCTCAGGGGAATCAAGGACACTTGGAAATGTTTTTGTAGAGCAAGAGGCCTGACTTCTCCCACTTGGAGAGGAAGGGTTTTATTTTCCAGTGCTTGGTAAGAAATTGTTTTGAAACAACTGAAAACAAGGTGCTGTTAAGGCAACTCAGTGCTGTGCTGGGAAGGGAGTTGGTGCTGCTGTTCTCCTTATTTAATTTTTCTGGTAGTTTGGTCCCACAGCAAAAATAAGTTCTTCTTTTTGCTGATCATCTGTGGTTACTAAATTTGTGGAAACTTGTATCCTCAAGACCAGTATTTCCTTGCAAAACTGGATTGACACATCCACGTGGATAGATGGTGTCATCCTGTGAGCMTCTCCCTTTAGGCAGCCCAGGATGAGGATCATTATTGCATTTTATCATCATAACCACAACTGCAAACCACCCCTGGTTAATAAGGAAACAGTTGGCAACCAGCCTTTGCAAGAGGTTTGAAACAAAGCTTGAAAGCAGCCACATCAATAAGTTTTTATCTCTAATCTTTTTCCATTTGTAACTAATACCACGAGAGATGTCTATAGCCTGTAGTGCACAGTGCTTGCAGCAGGCTGGCTTTTTGGAAAAGCCAAAAATTTTTGAGAAATTCCTGTCTTTTGATTTCCATCCCTTGACACAGTGAGATCCAAGAGGAACACTGCAATCCATCGTCTCCTTGAAATCATAAATAAAAGTGCATCTGAGCTCTGATTTTGTAGCTGCTTGAATTTCAGTGGGAGCTCAGGATCCTGTGTGTTTAATTGCAGAATTGGGCCTGGAAGGTGTTTKGCAAAAACCTCTTGCCTGGAGTCACATTCTCTCCTAACAACAGCCCCTGATACAAACTGCAGTCAGTGTTTGCCTGYGTCGTGTTGGAGATGTCCTTGTCTGAGGGGTAAATAATAGTTTGAATAAACATCCTTTCAGTCTCTGACTTCCTTCCAAAGAAATACAAGCCTTGGATGCAGTGGCAGAAGAAAAAGAATTGTTTAAGTCAGAGAGGAACCAGGAAAACGTTCTTTGCTGTGTCCCTGCCCTTGGCTGCCCAATCTGGTCCATCCCTGCTGACCTCACAGGTGAGGGAGCACCTGGAAAGCTCAGCCTTGGTTTCCCATCTCCTGTCAGCCATAGCTGCCAAAAAAATCGTTGGGATTCTCTTGCAGGCACTTGATTCAAGTGCTGCCCAAGTTTCTGGGGTTTACTATCAACCCACCCAACCTTTTTTTTAGAGAGCAGGCAAGTTCTTAGAAGACAAGCTGAGGCCATCAGCCTCGGCAGTTTGTTTTCTTTTGGGGGAAGGATTTTTTTACCAACTGAGCCCARCAAAAAGCTCTCCCTGCCTTGTGCAGGAGCTTTATTGAGAGCTGCACCTTCCCAGCTGTCCAGAAGAGGGGAGCCCAGTCTTGCTTTTGAGAGCAGGATAACATTTTGCTGATAACTGAAGGCGAGGGAACGCTGCCAGCACAGACATATCTGGGCAGTGCTGCGTGTTACTGTCCCAGTCAGAGCAACCTAAATCCCAGTCTGACCCAGTGAGGAATATGSAGTGTGCTGCTGTGGAAATGTGCTCTCCTTAAGGAAATGGATATTTTAGGGGTAGGAAGTCCAAAATCCTAATTGCAGAACCAGCTGCTGAGCTCCCTGGGGTGGAGTCTCCCATCCTGGCTGGCTGGGATAATGTTTGGGATAATACCCTGAGCAGGGCTTTGAGGTGAGTTGTAGCTATGAGAAGGTGCTTCAATAAGAAWTTTTCATCTAAGGGTAGCTTTTTGTACTCCATCAGCTTTTAAACTGTTCCCCAAACAGTCTTGCTCATGTGTGTGTGTGTAAATCAGCAGCGAGGTGTCTGAAAAACCACATTCTGAGTCTAAAAATAAAGGCCATCAAATAGATGTGGCCCCAAAAGAGTTATTTAAGCAGCTCTAAAGACAGGAATGCTCCCTTCTCCACAAAGCATAACATTTCCCAGTTCAAAGCATCTGCCTTTTTGAAATTCTGCCCTAGAATTTCCTCCAAATGCAAAAGCCTTAAAATAGTCTGGCTCATTTGGCTTCCCCTTCCTGGTGCGATATTTCAGTCAAATCCACAGACAATGCCCCGAACCTCAGAAATTATCTCACTAATGATCCTTTTATGGGAGGAAACAACAGCCGTGGGTGGAACATTCCTCTGTAGGGCGTAACAAAATTTTCCTTGGGAGTCCCAGACTTGGACTATTTCGGATGCCTTGGGAGAGGCTGGGAATGCAGGAGCTGCCGTGGTTCAGTTGTAACAGTTCCTAGGGAGCCAGCGCTATTCGATTTTTCCTCTGTAAGGTTTTTTTATTTTTTTTTGTGTCTCAGAGCTGCTGCTGAACTGGAGCGTGGGCTGACCTTGCTGAGAGCTGCTGTCCAGTTGTGGCATAATTTCCCTCCCCTGTGCCCTAGGGTGTAGTAGAWAAAGTTCCCATGGATTTTTCCGCCGAGCGTTTAGCGCGCTCCGTACGGTTTGATGTGTCACTGCTCACTTGTGTCCGTTGCTGAAGCTCCTGCACGGCCTGGCTGTAATTTTTCTGACAGTTGCTGACATGCCTTTGCTGGTTGTTTGGCTGAAGCTGCTTCACCTATCAGGCTTTTGTCCTTGTAATGAGCAGCCTCTGCATTTGCTGCTGGTTTAACCCTTGACGGTGCTTGTGCAGCCAGGATGAGCTGCCTGGGTGGGTAAAGGTGAGGTGACTTCAGCTAAAATCCATTTTGGATCAACAGTCCCAGAGGAGTCCCCAGATCCCAAACAGATTTGTGGTTTGATAGTTTGAATCTAAATAAAACCCMGCCAATTTCTTTCTGTTATATCTGGTYCATCTTCCCCTTCCTGCCCCGTGCRCACAACGTGAATAAACAACTGAAGTTACATCAAACAAGGACTGTATTTC